ATGTGTTGTTTGTCTTAATAACTCAAGTGACAGGTACTTTTCCGTAATAAAATAAAATAAATATATAACATAATACCTACCATATATTATAACTATATAAGAGTAAATATGACAGATATGTATGTCATATTATCTGGTAGGTAGCATACTACTTGTATGACGTTTACAGTTTTTTGGTAGATAGCATAGGTAATTAGCATAGCTAACTTAACCTTCCTAATTTTGGTATCATCACATCGCGAAAACGATATAATTATTTTGGGATGGTGGTCATTTTAAATTTATCAATAAAATATTATTTAATTAATAATATATATACGTATAGAATATGTATTATCTTACATACATATTTAAGTGTAATTAAAATTAACGAAGAAATGGACAATATTATGCTATTGAAATATTTAGTATAACTATTATTATTTATTATTTGATATGATGTAGCCTATATAAGTGGTACCTATATAACATTTAAAATTAAAATGTATATATTTAGCTATCCCGAATAAAATTGAATATATGTATATTAAAAGCATGTTATAATAATTTTGTAATATTAAGTAACTATATACTTAACTATAACCGATGGGTAGACATTGTATCAATGTTGTCGACAGTGGGCTGTATACGGACATACCTAATACAATCAAATAATAATATTAATACTTACTACATATCTATAGATATAAGTATAACTGTATGTAAGATCTATGAGACGTGTAACACGTCATACGCGGTCGTAATTCGACGTGGGCGGCTGCAGATAGCTAGGTAATGTAAATATTATAAATTATAATGCAATACTGAACCAACAAACTGCACACTTATGAGTTTATTATTTACTAATTACTAGTGCACGCGCGATAGACGACAACTACACGACTACCTATATATTATATTATATAGTAGCAAGTAGGCAGAAGGTACAATTGTACAAATATTCCGACTACACTAAGTAGTATAATACTACTTACTAGTATACTATACAGAGCGTCACAGCAGGGACTAAAATTGTGTGTAGTACGAAATGCGAAGTATGTGGAATACGAAATTAAAAATTGTGTGATGGTCTGTAATAACAACAGTAACTTTTTTTACAGTTTTTTCTTCATTAATTGAAAAAATATTTGATGTTACATTGGGAAATAGATAGATAAGAATATTAAATATTAATAATAATTATTATTATTAGTTTTTACTTATAGATACAATAGGTATTTAAAATATAATAAAAAAAAAAAATAAAAATATTTCCAACGATCGATACGCGGTTAAATAATTATACAAATAATTATCAAACAATAGTTAACGAATGTAGGTAACTATTCTTTTGAAAGGGCTAGAGTTCGGGTTCGCCTGGACGAACAGACTGACGTCGCCCCGAGCACCGTTAAAAACCAAGAGAGAATAATCAGCATTGCAGCTTGGCAAGCTCGGTGGGACCGGTCTGATAAAGGCAGATGGACATACCGGCTCCTACCTGATGTTGGGCGCTGGTTAACAAAGCCACCACTAACCCTGACTTTCCGGCTGACGCAGGTGCTTTCGGGGCACGGGTGCTTCCGGAGCTACCTGAAGAGGTTTAATCGGGCGGACGACAGCTATTGCGTATACTGCGTCGACCCCGACGACACTGTTGAGCACACGGTTTTTACCTGCCCGAGATGGCTTGGCGACCGCGTTCGAATGACTGAGATTATGAGGCGACCTCCGAACGCGGGCGACGTTGAGGAAATCCTGTGTGGTCCCCTGTCACATGACTTGCCGGAAGACGGCCAAGCCCGAAGGAGAATTATCAGACAGTTCGAAACTAACCGCATGGAGTTCATCCGCATGGTCGAGACGATTCTGTCGACCAAGGAAAAAGATGAACGCGAGGAACAGGCCCTGCTAAGGGCACAGGGGAACGTGCGACCGCCCTGATGGAGAACGAAACATCCAGAGCGGTGGACTCCGGTCGGCTCGCCAATCGGATGACAGGCACGCGAATTCAAGGGCGGCGGACTCCGGTCGGCCCGAGAAGGTCAGGAAGAAGTCCTAATTGTTAATGCAAAATTTAAAATGCTTGAACGGGGTAAGTCGGGGAGCTGTCCCGTCTGCCTCCCATGTATATATTAATTTGATACCGTCAATAAACGATGGCGGCGCCGCGGAAGCAATGCGAAAGCAGATCCCGCGGCGTCGTCGGTTAAAACAGGAAAAAAAAAAAAAAAAAAAAAAAAAAGGTAACTATTCTTTTAAAAGAACCATTAACATAGGTATAATATTATATATTAATACATATTATTTGAAACAATAATAGTATAGATATAGGTATACCTATTAATTATTATGTGCCGATAATGCATTACATCTTTTTCATAATCGTCAATGGCTGATTAATAGGTCGTATCCAGAGATGTAAGCTTGAACATTTTTTTAGATTCTGAGTGAAACGATGAATGTATTGATTTTACAATGATGTGTGTTTTTTTATTTTTTATTTTTTGTGTGTCTGTGTACACGATAAGTAGTCGAAATAATGCTTCGATTTTCAACTTCAGTATCTTGTTTGATTGGAAAGTGAATATCGTTGGTGCATTGAGGAGGTCAAAATTTAAAATTCCCAGTACTTTTAAAAAGCGCCAAGAAAAGCAAAAGAAAAATTAAGGAAAAACGGGAATTTTTACGCAAAATCGATTTTTCAGAAAATTGAATTTGGTTTTTGGTGTAACTTTAAAACAAATGAACGTATATACATGAAATTTTCACTGGTTGTTTATATTTGCATTTTCTATACACGATAACAGTTTCAAAATATTTTGGTTTATTTTGAACTGTTTAGGGACATTTTCAGTTTCCAATTTTTTTTAGTTTTTTTCTAGAAATATCAATAAAATTTTATTTGTTGGTTAAAAAAACTTGAAAATTTAATAGAAAGCTCCTAGTATATTGTTTCAAACGCAGATGAAAAATATTAAAAATCGTTAGTCACAGTTTTTTTTTTTATAAGCATTTAAAGTTCACCAATTGACAAAATATGGAAAAATCACGACAATTAGCAAATTATTTTGATTTAAGAATTCGTAAAAATTTTTCTTTTAAATCTAAGATTTGAAAATGTAATACAAGATTACTTATAAGTTTGTCTACCATTATCAATAAAAAAATCTCTACCGGACAGTCAAATTAAATTTTTATGAGCGTTTGAAATTCAAATTTTTACAACATTGGATGTTCACTCGATTTCTCATGTAGCGATTTCCTTATTTTGTTGTTATTCATAAACGAATAACTATAGATACATGAAAATTTCACTGAATATTTATATTAGCATTTCCTATACACCATACAATTTTGAAAATATTTTGACTCTTCTTGAGCTGTTTACGGATATTTTCATTTTTCAATTTTTTTAGTTTTTTTTTCTATGAATATCAATAAAGTTTTATCTGTTGGGCCAAAAAGTGTAAAAATTTAATACAAGACTCCTGGTATATTGTTACAATATCAGTTGAAAAATATTAAAAATACATAGGCACAATATTTTTATAAGCATTTAAACATCGAATTTTGACAGAATTTTTCAAAATCTCGAAAATTATTAATCATCGTAATTAATAAATTATAAAATGTTCAGTTTTTATAGCTAAGGATTGAAAATTTAAAACAAGATTCCACGTAAGTAGTTAATTCTCTTACCAAAAAATCTAAAAAATATACAATCACAGTTTATTTTTATAGTCATTTTATGTTCAAATTTGGACGAAATTACATATTAAAAAACCTAGTTATTTTGTTGTGAGTACCTATATAATATTATTTGTGGGTACCTACTTGAAACTTCTAAAGTGTACTTTTATATATCTATGATAGTATCAGGGTTTGTTATAATGTTATTGATGTTGATGTATAACGTGTTATAAGTACCTAATGGATATTTTGATAATGTGATATGATTAATTTGGAATTTATTATAGGTCAATTTTTTTTTAATACCATATATATGTATATAATTTGTCTTAAACCTAGACTGACATACCATCTTCGCTCAGAATCGTTTTTCTTATACAATGATATTGTATCATTGAATTCAAATTTAAATAGCATCCATTATACAGTGACCCACTTGTAACCTACTGTACAGCAGAGTGACGCCCACTTACCCACCTTTATTTTGCTATAATTGAAATTATAAAAATATAATATTTTTTTTCTTATATTATAATACTATATATTTCAAAAATGTCTAAAAAATCAAAAAAACATCGAAATATGCACTAAAAGAAGAAATAAGTTATTAAAATTGTAAAATAAGCCCTTAAAATCGAAAAATGTCAAAATATGCAAAAATATGCTCTAAAAAAGTTTCATTTTTAAATTGTTATGTCATGAAACAGATTTTGTGCTCACTTAGCATATCATACGATCAACCAGAATAAATACCTATGCAAATGCATACAAATCCGCGCTCCATTTATTACTTTCCGCGCCCCGCGAAATTATTACGATATACGATAGTTGCTTAAATTCACCACTTGGATCGTTATACTTCAGTTCTGTGATTAAAAGAAATTATGAGTTACACCCACGGACTAAGATATACAGGACTGGACACGACAAGGTTGGAGGGTGTGGGGGGGTTGACTACGAAATGTTTTACAACAGGCAGTGTTCGGGGGGATATTTTCCTTTTAGCATTACTAGCGCCGTCCTAGTGGATACTTATGGAACTAGAACACATCATACAAATTTCTAGTTCCATAAGTATCCACTAAGACGGCGCTAGTAATGCTAAAAGGAAAATATCCCCCCGAACTCCGCCTGTTGTAAAACATTTCGTAACCACAATATTCATCTCGTGTCCAGTCCTGTATATCTTAGTCCGTGGTTACACCTTATCGTAGCTTGTTGGGCAACCATCTTATCTTTAATCGTGCATTTAACCAATTGTCAAACGAGCAGTATACCAATTTTCGAAATAATTTAAAAGGTGGAATTTCACTATTTCAGTAAAAGAAATGGATGCTTTACAGACTTCATCGCGTGGAAATGATCTCGGGCCAATTTTGAAACTCAATAAATGTGCACCGTGGCTTAAGACGGATAAACTTCACTCTGTTAGAATACTAGAAGGATTACAATCTCAACGCAAGTATGTTGTCAATGATTTCAGCTTCATTCAAAATAAATAACTAGTAGGTACCTAACACGTTTTTGTTTTTACTTTTTAGCAATGAAGATTGTGATATTAGATTTGAAACAGATGACGGTACTATAGTATTTGCACATAAAAATGTTCTGATGGCAGGTAGTACATATTTCCGTGCAATGTTTAGTAATTTTGATGAAACCAATAAAGATGTTGTTAATATAAGAAAATTAGACTCCGTCGCTTTACAACTGTTAGTAGATTATATCTACACTGGAGAAATTATAGTGACAAAAGAAAATGTACAGGTATGATCAATAATTTGATTTGTCGTAGACTAATATAAAATTGTTTTAAATGTATTATTGTTGATTTTCAAGGTCTTATTACCGGCTGCAAACATCTTGCAGTTAGATTTCGTAAGTGCTGCATGTGCTATGTTTTTGCAAAAACAACTGGAGAGCGTCATAGCTGTACGGACTCGTTATCCAGTTTTGAAGCATTAATAAAAAAAAATGTTTTAAGTGTCAACTTTAAAAATATATTGAATTAAAATTACATTTCTTATAGGAGTAGCTGTATTAGATGGTTCGTTGTGTGTTACGGGCTGAGAATTTAATGGTACTGTAGAAATTTACAACCCAATCAACAAAACTTGGACCATGGATATATTGTCGAAACATGAAATTTATTGTGGAGTAGTCGTTAATAGACTAGGTATCACATCAAAAATAATAAGCATAAAACAGAATGTTCTCACTGTTGTTAGTAATTTGAACATATTTATATATAATTTATTATGAAACGTGTATTGTTCTATACATTTTTGTTTTTGTAAATGTTTTATAACTTAAATTTGCAAATTAATTAAATAAGCTATACAGTTAATTGTTGCACTGTTGTAGCATACGGTATACCATTATAATATCTTATAGATTCTGAGTGGAGTAATCAATGTATTGACAGGTTAGGTAATGACCTATGTTATTATAGTAATGACCTATGTTTTTTGTGTGTGTATCTGCAAACAAAAATTAATTAGAAAAAAACCCTTAGGTTTTCAATTTTGGAGGTGATTTCTGTGAGGAAATATATTATACTCAGTACTTTTTAAATCAACTTTAAAAATTGAAGATTCCCAAAACTTGTCATAATATCTAGGAAAAACATGACGAAAAAATGTGATAAGTGTTTCGTTGTACAGCTTAAGAGTACGCACAAGGTTGTCAACCTGCGAGACCTACCAAAATTTGTATACATAGTAATACATGATCTAAACATCACAATTTTTGATTTTTTAAATCATAAAACATTAAATAGGTAAGTGAATAATAACATTGATATTTGATAATAAATTAAATGTCTTTAAAAAAAAAATTGATAACATATTACCATTACAGATTGCGAAATTGTATTCATTTAAAATTTAAAACTGTGTTGACAGTTAAAATATTTCTTATTTAATTAATAATTTAAAAAAAATATGTATCTGGTTTCTATCATATGAATGATTTATGCCTTAAATAATGGGTGATTATGAGTAAGTAAATTAAAGTATGTACAATTTTAATTGTTTCCTCCATAAGAGTTCAGGTTTCTTAATCTTAATTGACTTAGCCCTCCCTGTCACAAATGTCTGCTCACGCCTATGTTGTACCACAGAACAATATAGAATAGACACTCGATCAGCAGTGAGGGTTTACGTAACCCTACGGTATGATGTATTGGACTATAAAAGTTGTACCGTATCCGTAATCTGATAGAACGTTAGCAACGTGTATCCCTCTTTGTTACGGAACTTTTATAAACGATTTTATATGAATTTTCATATTTTAAGTATATCAATATTAAATTTTGGTAAAATGAATAAGGATTTTGTTTTAATATAAATTAAAAACTATAATGTAATTTTACATTGGTTTATTGTTAATGAAATAATATATTGTATTATTATTCTGTGGACTGATAATATTGATATGATTTATTTAAATGATAACATATGCCACGCCCCCTTAGAGACCGTGCTCAAGGCCACAGTCACTCGATTTTGCCAATACACAGAGTGTCTATACCCTGGTTGTACAGTAGGTCGTAGGTGTTTAGAAGAGTCACAGTAATGTATTGTTTAAATTAGAATTTAATAATAAAAATTGTAGACATAAGGATACTAAGCAAAGATGGCAAAGTCTGCATATATTACCAACTACCGAGTATATTTTATGATATTGCTAATAAAGTAACTTTTTAAAGACTATACCTGAAGAACAAAGCTACTGTAATCAGTATTAAGGGAAGTTTCCTGAAGCAAATTGGATACTCCATGTACTTTATTATTAGAGGGGAGTGATGTCCAAATGTCATAATATACTTTTAACATGAGGCAAATTAAGCTGATGGCTATGTGTTTTCATATTTTCATATTATATGTTATATAAGTAAACTTTTAGACAAAAAAAAGTAAAATAAGTAACTAAAACAGAAAAAAAACCAAGGCTTTCATAAATGAGTTAAAAAGTTAAGTTAGTTTTAACATTTAACTGTAGCATTAACATAATTTTTAATTAAACTGATTTTTATACTTAAGATATAACAAGTTACTTTTAATCAAATTCAAGTTACGTTAATTTATAAACAATTAAATAATAAATATAACAAAATTATTATTGATGATGCATATTTAGTGCATAAACATTTACTTTTTTATTATTTTAAACCACAAAACTGGCTATAATTATATATTTAAAAAAAAAAAAATAAATAACTTTAATTAGGTAAAAGCAAGTACGAAGTAGCACTCCTGTCCCGATATATAAATCTATGCTACGTAACAATCCCAGAAATTTCCAATTTGAAAATATAAAATCACATTTTGTAACTTCATATTGGTACTCGTCTCAAAATTACTATTACGTTTCCATTTCTCATTAACTTTACATTGACATTTGAACAATTGTTAGATAATATATACAAGTATACTGATATTTTGTAATTTTTTAAAATTTTTAGTGTTTATATTATATGCAACAAATGAAATTGCAAATTTTTAAAAAATATTTTTGAATTTTTGAGTGCATAAATATGTGCATATTTAACAATAATTTTTGCATAAAAATTCCGACCCTATAGGATATAGTGATAACTTATAACAGACGTCAGACAAAAAAAAATTAATGTTTTGTAAAATCAAACGAATATATTGTTTTTATGAGGAATCCCTAAAAAAAAAATATGTAGGCTAATCGATGATTGCGAAGGAAATTCGATAGATTGAACTTTTTGTGATTGTATCTACCGAAAAGATTAACGTTTCAGAAGGGACAGTATGACAACGCCTACTTCCAAGATCTAGGCAATTCACACACAGCCTTTCGTTTACTAGCGTACGATATCGGTAATACTAGTTTCTAGTTAGTACGATAATATGTGTAAGTCCCGTAAATTCCTGCTGTACCTGTTTTCCCAGAAAGTGGAACTTTCTACGCTACTTTAGTAACGTTACCTCTGCCATATCCAAGGAAACTTTGACTTCTGGAAATAGTTTTATTTTTAATTAATCTAACTTATAAGCTAATAATTTCTTAACATCAGTATTTTGTTGGTTTTAGATTCTGAGCGGAGCGATAAATGTATTGAGTTTACAATTTGTGTTTTTAAATTTTTTTTTTTTGTGTCTGTGTACTCGATACGTTGTCAAAATAATGTTTCGATTTTCAATTAAGTATCTTGTTCGATAGGAGCGAATCTAGTTGGTGCTTGCAGAGGTCGAAATTCTCAGTACCTAATTTCAAAATCACCGGGAAAAAACAATTAAGAAAAACGGGAATTAGTACGCAAAATCGGTTTCCGACAAATCGATTTGATTTTGGTTGTAACTCTAAAGAAAAAGACCGTAGATACATGAAATAATATTTCATATATAAATATTAACATTTTCTATACACGATAAGATTTTCAAAATATTTTGAATTGTTTAAACTGTTTTAGGGACATTTCAATTTTCCATTTTTTTTAGTTTTTATTCTATAAATATCAATAAAATTTTATTTGTTGTTTGAAGCTGAAAATTTAATACAAGGGCTCCTGATGATTGTTACAATATCACGAATATCAGTTGAAAAAATATTAAAATACATAGGCAACAATTTTTTTTTATAATCTTTAAAGATCGAATTTTGACCAAATTTATCAAATTTAAAT